GTCAGATTTGTTTACCTCAAGATTCAGAATTGAGGAGAGCTGTTCTGGAAGAGGGACACATGAGTCATCTTAGCATATATCCTGGTATGACTAAGATGAATTAGGACATCAAGAAGAGTTTTTGGTGGCCTGGTATGAAGAGGGAGATAGCAGAATTTGTGGCAGCTTGTCTGACTTGTCAGAAAGTGAAGATTGAGCATCAGAGACCCGGAGGGGTTTTGCAGTTGATGGAGATTCCCGAGGGAAGTGGGATAGTGTCATTATGGACTTTGTGGTTGGGTTGCCTAGGGCAGCTAGGAATAGTTACTCTATTTGGGTGATTGTGGATAGGTTGACAAAGTATGCGCACTTTCTTCCTATCAACAAGAGGTGGTCCTTGGAGAGGCTTGCATAATTGTATATCAGAGAGATAGTACGGTTGCATGGGGTGCCTTCTATTATTATTTTTGACAAAAATCCAAGGTTTACTTCTAAGTTTTGGCAGACTTTACATCAGGCGTTGGCGACGAGGTTGAGGTTAAGCTTCGCTTATCATTCATAGAAAGATGGTCAATTGGAAAGGACAATTCAGTCACTTGAGGATCTCCTAAGAGCTTGTGTGTTGGATCATCTAGGTAAGTGGGAGGAGGTGTTACCATTGGTGGAGTTTACCTACAATAACAGTTATCACTCAAGTATTGGCATGGCGCCTTTTGAGGCTTTGTATGGTTGGAGGTGTAGGACTCCATTATGTTGGTATTAGGAGGGTGAGTCAGTAGTGGTTGGTCCAGAGTTAGTTCTTCAGACTACTGAGATGGTGAGACAGATTCAGGAGAGGTTGAAGGCTACCCAGATTCGATAAAAGTCCTATGCTGATAGAAGGAGGAGACCTCTAGACTTTGAGAAGGGAGGGCACGTGTTTCTCATGGTGACACCCACTACTGGTGTGGGAAGGGCAGTAAGGGCTAAGAAGCTCACTTCGAGGTTCATTGGTCCTTACCAGATCCTTCGTCGTATAGGTCTGGTAGCTTATCAGTTGGCGTTGCCTCTGGTTTTATCCAACCTACATGATGTGTTTCACGTTTCATAGTTGAGGAAGTACATCAGAGACCCGAGTCATGTGGTAGAGATGGATGAGGTGCAAGTTAGAGAGAACTTGACCTATGAGAAGAGACCAGTAGTTGTGGTTGATCACAAGTTGAAGAAGCTTAGGGGCAAATCCATCAGCTTTGTGAGAGTTCTTTGGAATACAGCTACTGGTGAGGCAACCTAGGAGGTGGAGATTCAGTTCAAGGAACGATATCCATTTCTTTGAAAGTCGTTCTGGATATGAATTTTACACGACATTTGAGTCCAGAACGGGTCGTTCCGAATTCAAAACGAGCCATTCTGACCACTCTAGACTTTTATAAATAGGCCACATGCATGTAGTTAAGGAGAAAGAAGGGGAACTTAGAAAGAATTTTTTGAGAGAAAGACTCTGGGTCTGTGAGCTCCTTTCTCTCCCAAGTTTTATCTGTATGATTCTTCTTCTCCTCTAGATCACTAATGTCTTCTGTCTTTTCTTGAAATTCAGACTAGGAAGCTTGCTTTTCTTGATGCATCGGATGATTGCATGTTGATTTTGAACTTGTTTTTGAGTTGTATGGAGCTTGTGCATTGTGTTTTTGTGTTTGCATGTGGCTGGATTTTCTGGTTTGGATGAGTTTTTGAACTCTCTAACTGGGATCAGGTCAAGAGCAGGTTGAGCGCGTCAGGCGTGGAAGAGCTTAGGGCTCTCGGGTTGGATGTTAGGCCGGGCGTGAGTGGGTTTGATGTTTTTGGATTGAAATTGATGCTCATGCATGTTTAAAGTTGAAGTTTTAGATCATGTATGTATGCTTATATGAATGTTTAATATGACATGTGTATATGTTCATATGAAAATGATATTGATCATGATGGTGGGTAGACCATGTATGATGTGTGATGCATTATTGCATGTGATGCCTTATTGCTTGAGTCTAGCCTGCGACTTAAGGAGAGGGAGAATTTTTTTGAACTAGAAGAGTTCACATAGAGTCTCTTGAGAGTGATGCTTGGATAGGCCACTGATATATGAGATTGGTGCTCAGGTAGGCCACTAGACCTGGGTGAGAGTGGTGTTCAGGTAGGCCACTAGGTTGGGTGAGTCTCCTCTAAGTCCTTAGCTAGTGTTGGAGTGGAGTATGAGGTCGAGGGTTATTCCTTTAACCAAGTGCTGGGGAAGGTGCATGGATCCTTGCGGATAGTCGGTGGGCGAACTCCACAAGTGACTTGGTAATGCATGTCAAGGTCGTGGTAAACTTGTACCCAGCTATGCTATACCTGACGGTGGATTCGAACTTCCAATTGTGTAAGTGACATCATCCGAGTAAATCTGAGTGATGATTTTTATCCTGTTTAGCTGTGACCGAGCATGCGCATTGGGGGTGAAAACAGTTGGGGTGATTTCGATAGGATTGGGATATTACTTACACTGCTCTGTTGTTAGGGAGATCTCCTAGGTGTGTGTGTGATGACGCATTAGATGATAGATATGCATTTGATATCTTTCATGTGTTGCTTAATTGCATGAATGTTGTTGTGATGAAGTGCATGGTGTTTGATTTCATGATTGGTGTGTTGCATTTTATGCATGAGTAGATTTGGAAAAAGTGTATGGTGTGGCTCTATGAACATGATTGGATACATGTGTAGTATAGATTATTGTTCTATACTTGTATGGTTGTTAATTGAACTCTAGCTTACCCTTCTGTTTCTATGTGATGGATTGCGGTGATCATACTTTGTATGCGAGCATATCAGGGCTAGCTTGGAGTTGAGGTCCGCTGCCAGACGAGGAGTTTTATCCTAGTGTTAGAGTTACCTGCTGGGTAACTATTGTTGTGCTTGACCGACACTAGAGAATATTATTTTGGATGACTATACATATGTACAGTATTATAATTTATATTTAGAAAACTTAGTTATTATTATAGTTTATATATCCTATATGTATGAGTTGTCACATTTAATATTCCTTTTATTCTACTTGTAATAGTGCGATTCCACTAAGTATAAGAACCATGCCGGTCGTTACAATTGTTCATATTTTCAAAGTGACCACTTGTTTAATTTATCTTTTTCTTTTTTAATTTTATTTATATTGTTTAAAACCTAAGAGATCCCTAAACCCTAAAAATATAAAAAGAATACTTCTCTTGATACTATTTCTTTTGATACTACTTCTTTTCACACTAACAGGACCGAGGAGCTTCAAATCTTTATAATCGTTAATACAATGACAACTTCTATAACCTCTAGGTTATCTGAAATTACGGACATTTGATATGAAATGTTACTTTTTTAAACCTTGATATTAAAAAAATTAAAACTCATTTTTCATTTAATAATAAAGAATAAAAAAAAATAAAACATATACACCAAAACCTGTTATCGACCTTATTTATTGTTATTATAAATAACTATTTTGATTTCCACTTTTTATTGAATCCTTCTACCCTTAATTGCTAAAAAATATATATATAAAATCATAACTTTTTCCTAGTTTTTTTCAAATCTATACCGTTATAAATAGAGGATCTTTGTATAAAAAAAATACACATTTTAATAACTGCTTTTAATTCCATTTTAACATATGCCATTCAAACTTTTTTCCCCTATAATTATGAACTTCTTAAAACCACTTTCTCCTACATTAATTTTTCCTTTTCTTTTTATTTATTATTTTACTATGAAGCTACTTTTAAGTACATTATAAGAAAATTGTCATATAGTGACGTATACCTGATAGTTATTTAATAATATCACTAAAAATTACTTTTAACCACACAAAAAATATAATATATGTTTATATATTATTAAAATGTGTGGGTATATACTATAATGACACATAAAATATGTTGTTAAGTTTCATTTAAATTAATACTAAAATTGTGTGTAACTATATGTGAAATAGATATACACCTATATATATTATATTTATAGTGACACTTTTTGTATATCATTATACGCAACATTTCTTATAATGAACTGTTCATTCTTTTATTTTATTTTACTTTATTATGAAATACTTATAATAACTATTCACAAAAACAATTCTTTTAAATACAGTGCTGGCACGAAGTTCTTATTTTTTTTCTGCTAGTATATTACATATAACATAAAAAAAAGTGATATAGGAAGTGATTCCTTAAAATTAATAAGTGGTTAGTCTGAGAAGTATACCACGAAGTAAAGAAAACAAAATAAAAACTACCTAAAAAAATGAAAGAAAAAGTTATGAAGACAAAATAATAATAATAATAATAAATAATAATAATAATATACCTATTATAAAGAGAATATTATGTTATGTAACGATTTTTCTTTACTTTTTAGTTCATCATCATACTTCTTGATGTTAAAAAATATAATTTTTTATCCTCTTTAAATAATTATCCACAACAATTCAATATCATGTCTGAATAACTATATTAGAAATTCGAAATGTCTCAACCCTCTAATAATTTATACTTTTATAATAGATATCATATAATAAAATAAATTATCTTATTTGATATATATTTTTTAGATAATTTTATTCTTATATTTTTAAATGATAAAATATAATATTAAAAGTAAATCATTTTTTATAAAGATAAAACTTAAACTCAAAACTTTTATATTAGAGATCAAATATAACACTAATTATTCTATCAAATATTAATAATTTTTAAATATTTTTATTAAATAAGATATAAAAATACAATGTCTTGATGCCACTGATATATTATAAAAGCATACCCTATTTTCATCTATACAAATTTTGGACTATTTTAATCATGGTATCAATGATAATAATATGTACATTGAAAGGCAGGTTAGGTGACAGTGAGTGATGATCTTGCGGTTAGCAAAGGACAGTCTCTTTCATTCCACAGTTGACAGTACATTGTCTCTTCTGCCGCTTCCTTAATAACTGCCACGTCTATCTCTTCATTCCTCAAACTCCACGCATTCCACCACTTCTACTTTCACTCTCCACCACTTTTCAAACTGTCTCTTGTTTAATATTGCTAAAACCATTACTTTAGAAATAATGTTGCTCTAGCTTTTAAGTTTTACTGAAATTTTCCTAATTAATATTTAATTGTTTGTGTTATATATGATCCTTGCGGAGTTTGATATTCTTAACTCTGCTTTCTAAAGTATTGATACTGACCAAGATGGGAAGACAAAGCCCTGGAAAATGGATCAGAAGCTTACTTCCGGGGAAGAAATCATCATCAAAGTCTAAGTCCTCTAGAGAGAAATATATTTATGTAAGAAACTTTTTGCTTGTCATTGCCATCACTTTTTGTTTATCATACATTACACTCAATCACAATCTCTATATTACAAAGCATTTCTCTCTAGCACTCTATATTTGCTTAAATTTAACAGAAATTTTAATCAATGTTTTTGACCATATTTAAATGCCTAGAGTGCGAAAGCTTTTCTGAAATATATGTAGGTTTATAACTCTGTTGGACTTATATATACTTTCTTACATGCAAGTTGTAAGTGTGATTTCGATTCTGTTGTAAATAAACCTTCAAGTGACAAGGATGTTCTGGTGGTGTATTCTTAGGCATCCATGTCTACACCAACATCTGAAGCTAATGCAACTAAAGAAGTGCTATTGGAAAAGGAAGTAGCTAGTATATCATCCAATGATGGGGTAAGTTTTTCAACTGAAGACCAACAAGTCAATACACAATCTCTCACTAGTTATGGTTCTGGGGACCATCATGAGAAAATCATGCTTAATGAAGCAGCTATAATAGTTCAGGCTGCTATTAGAGGCTATCAGGTATTCACCGATCTTCCTATATTTATATTTATGTTCTTTACAGAATTGCTAAATAGTCCATTGGGGTTATTTTTATTTTTTACAAACCATTATGGAAACCCTTTTATTCCAGTAATGAATATACCGTTACAAAGTATGGATATGAAATAAATCCTGTTTCTTGAGTTGCGATTGTTATGAATTGGGTTGGAATTGTAATGCATATGATGATATATTCTGATTTTTGAGACTTCATAGCTGGAAATTGCAGGAAGACACATATACAGTTATTATGCAAGTGGACTTCCTGCTACTGTGATTTCTTTGTATGAAATTGAATAGACTAACAATTTTGAAGTTTTACATATTTGTGCTACCATATCCCTGCCACAACATGTCTTACATATCCTATATTTTTTTTTAGAATTTACTGTATGTATTCGCTTGTACTTGTATTACCTGTCGTGGCTGTGTTAATAGGTATAGAGAATATGATATTATGAAGTAATCAATGCAAGTATTTTGTATTTTTAATTTTATTTCCGTAATTTTTTATCTTTTAATCTTAGATGTTAAACAAAATTTAACATAGCCGTCTAGCTGGTACTTGTTATATAAGCTGATGCCTCTCAGTTATGATTATTTAGAAGAGTTTGAGGGAATTCCAAGTGTTAGAAATGTTGTTGACAGATACCGACATAACTGCAGTCATTTAAGTTTGAAAGATTAATTTCTCAGTTGAAAAATATATTTGCTTATTCCATTACATGTTTGTTCAACCTATATTAATGCTAATGCATTATTATATTTGGAATTCTTCCTAAATTTATCCGGTCAAGCATTTGCTATATGCTTTGATCTGTAGTGTATAAGCTATCATTGCGAAGTGCAAATTTCATAAAAAGTTTATCCTTGTCTGGAATCTTATTTATATGCAATTATATGGTTCATGAATGAATAAAGTGATTTCTATATGACCCAATTGAAGGCACGTGGGACTTTCAAAACTCTCAAAGGTATCACGACACTGCAAGCTTACATTCGAGGCCAGTTGGTTCGACGACAAGCTGTTTCTGCTTTATATTGTGTGAAATCAATAGTTAAATTTCAAGCATTGGCTCGTGCTTACAAGGTTAGGCACTCTAGTATTGGCCTTGCAGTCCAGAAAATTTTCAAGGTAAACAGACTTGAACCAGTTCAATCAACACAATCGTCTCTGGTTTATTGTACGAAGATTTTTAAATAGACATGTTAAAGGTTTTTCATTTATTGAACATTGAAAGATGTTATAATACAATGATCAAGTTCTAGTGATTATGCTTCACATTACATTACATAGCATAGAATAGATGATAAGTTGCATTTTCTCTGTTACCTTCATTTTTTCCTTCTGTGCATCAACTAACTGCTTCTCTAATAACTTTTTTGCTCAGGATACCAAATTTCCAAATTCTGTTGTAGTTACATCCACACAGGCATCAAAGCTCTCAGATAATATCTTCGTTCACAAGGTAGGAAGTATTTGTTGTCGAATATCCAAAGTGTCACCTTGCGCTTTTTTATAATTTAAAGGATATAGCTTGTTCAGTTCGCTAAAACTATACTTTAGATGTTATTATCAACTAATATTATTATTTTTCATGAAGGTTGATTAGCCTAATAAATAGTAAGGTTGGCTTTCTTGCTACTAGCATAAAGCTGTTTCATTTTTAGTTTGCTGTAATATGTATTGGCTTAAATAATAGGCTCATTTTTTTTTTCCACATGTTAAATATCGTATATGGTTTACTACCACTTTTTGGTTATTTTGTTATGTTCGTCTTCACCTTTTACTTCACTTTTTACGTTCATTATTTGCTTCAACTCAAGTTATCCCCGCCCCCTTTCATATTGGTTGTATTTACACAGTTCCTATCTTTTACATTTTTTGTGAAGCAAGTGCTATTTGTTGGTATATGTATCTACAATTAGTTTTGGATATTGAAATGGTGAACATTGTGTTCTGTGCTAATTATATGTTCATACCTCAGCCTTTTATAGGTTGATTACTAAATTCATGCACTCATTTACTGATATGATTTATGAAAATGAATTGTGTTAATTGTAATAAAAAAAATTTTGTGCCTGATTGATAGTAAGTTGATAACTCTTAGCATTTACTGGTCACTAAACTCATTTACTCTTTTACTGCTATGATTTATGAATATGAATTGCATAACAAAGGTTGGGAATGAAGGATGTTTGCCATTTTCTGGTCCCTGTTTCCTCTTATTGTTCTGAAACATATTTTTTTCTTCTTTTAGAGTGCTTTTTTCAGATAATAACTTACGATATACGTTATCACTTTCAGCTTCTGGCTTCAACACCCTCTGTGGATTCTCCATATCTCAACTATAATGCTGGTGAACCTAACTTGGCTTATGAGTGGCTTAACCGTTGGACGATATCACAGTTTTGGATACCTCTTCCAGAAGCAAAGAAACCTGATTCAATGTCTAACAAGATAAATAGCAGTTATCTAATAATTGAAACTAATAAGGGCCGAATCAAAAGAAATGCCAGGAAAGCACCTTCTCTGAGGATTGGTGATGATATAGTTTCAGATTCTAACAAACATGAAGGGTATCCAAAAAAGGACTCAAACCTCCCATTGCATTCAGCTAAGAGACATCCACAAAAGGAACTTGAGAAAACAGGTTCTAAAAAAAGCCAAATTCAGCATGTTCCTGATAAATCCGAGGTTGCTATTGAGAAAAAAACACACATTACCAAAAAAGTTTCCTATCATATAGTGAATGATGTTCCAAGGGAAGATGCATATGCTAGTGCTTCTTCAAAGAAGATAGTAGATTTGGCAGTGTTGAAGTCTAAACAGTCTGATATTGAGAAGAGTCTTGAACAGCAAGCAAAAGAGCATGATAATGAGACATGTAATGATACTAATGCTTACTTGAAGAGAAGAGCTTCCCTACCTGCTAATTTTATGGATCATGAAAATGTGTTGCATAACATTCCAAGAGCTCTTCCCAGTTATATGGCTCCAACTGAATCTACAAAAGCTAAGCTAAGAGGACAAGGCTCTCCACAGCCTGCTAGTGATTTGGTGGACATAGATGGTGTAATTCGGCGGCTTTCGTCTTCGTCTACTCTAAATGAGAAGTTAGGTCCTTTCTCTCCACCAGCAGATAGATTGGCTGCCTTGAGCAGCAAAGGAATCATAAAGACTGACAGATCTCTATCATCTTCAAGGAATGGGACTGGTAAGAATTTAGGATTTTGCACATTTTTCTCTTTAATTTTTCATCTATTGATGAGACAAACATTTCGTTTTAATTGTTTTTATTTATCTTTCCAAGTGATTGTGAATTCGTAACAAATCACAAATGCCTTTGGAAATCTTAATACAACGAGTTGCATAGATACAAATATTCAACTCTTAAAAGCATTATCTCTCTATATATATAGTTTGTGCGCGCGCTATTATTTGGTTTTGTCATGCATGCTCTATTTCTAGTCTTGAGTTTCAGGATTTGGGCAAGTGTGGTTCTTTTGAAAGATAAGTTTGGTTTATAATGAATATTGTACTGCGTGTTTTGATTTCCTGCACCATACTTGATTTTCAATCTCGTGTATTTGTTACTTGAGGAGTGCTAATAACATATTTTTTTAATATATTTCTCTTATCACACTTGTTGTTATTGGCTAGAATTTTTTAATAACTACAAAATCATGAATCATGATTGAAAATTGTTAAATAAGATGAGTCCATCAAATTTTTTTGTTATATACATAGAGTAGCATATCAAGTCAGAACAGGAGAACTGAGAGGAATTAATCTTTGGCCCTATAAAGTACAAATCATAAATTGTTGGTGAAGATTGTTTTAATCTTGATTATCCTTTTGAATTGTAGGCTCAAAACTTCATATATGCTCCTCTCACACTCTCGTATCTTATTTATGCATTAAGAACTTTTAATTCCACAGTTGAATTATTGAAATTTGATGTATTGGGTAGAGTAAACCTAAACAGACTTATTTTTAAAGTAGATCTCTTCTCATACACACAAATTAAGAGAGATCATTCGAATGTACTAGAAACAAATAGCAACAATTTTTTATTTTTTCCTTATCCCTGAATGATGTTGGCTTACGATAGTATGGACTCTGCTTGAAGCTTTACCATTTCCTTGCATCACTGTGTTATGTGGATATTATCAATTTCAGATAAGTGGAACCAACCTCAGTGGAGAAGGTGACGCTACGTAATCTTTCAGATCAAAGATGTTGCAAACGATGTAAAACCAAATAGAGTGAAATATATGCTGAGTTACATTCCTTTCCCTTTCTTTTTTACTCATCATTCCTATTTAATATTTATGATTGTAAGTAATGATGGATATATCCTGTAACCTGAGTCTGTGTATCAAATTTCATTTACTTATGGTAGTACGACTATTTTGATGGATCTCAGCATGTGCATTGGTTTCTCTGGGCACGATTATTAAACTTGTAATATGTAATGTTCTTCTAGGTAGTGTACCAATATGATGTAAGGAATAATTATTCTAATTAGTAGTCGGCGATAGGGGTTGATCCACGCTTAAGCAAGGTCAGGGGTTCAAATTCTGCCTTTTGTATGCAGCCGCGTTAAATCTTGGAGCTAGTTATTCCACCCTTTGAGGTGCCTCCAACGTAGCGAGGAGATTAGTCACTGCTGTCGGCGGCAAATACTCCAGGAACGAACAAAAAAAAAATGTTTTTATTGTCAACATTATACACTAAAAAAAATATGGCAAAAATATATAAATGAGACTCTTTTGGAAGTTAAAAACAATTGGGTATCTCTTATTTATATCAATTGAGTTGGCTTGTCTACCATATTTCGACTTATAAATATTTTCTTTTATAGTAGTATAATGCTAGAATGTGGCATCCAACAAGTATGTCAATAATAAATAAATACCTCAAACCCTTTGAATGTATCAAAGAAAAGTTTTAAAATAAACCATTGGAAGTGGTGAGAAATTAGAGTAATATGTACACAATCTTATATTAAAAATTTTATTATTGTAATAAATACCTCAAAGAAAAAGTATATTATTAAACGTGTATTTGTGAGATCTTTCCATCAGTTTTATTCATAGTAGAGGAGTTTAGAATTTAGAATTTATTCATGATAGAAGAATATAAAATTATGTATGGAGTAAAGACATTATCAAGAATCACTCGTTAGTTTTATTTAATTTGTTGCAAAAGATGCAAGCAAAAACTTGATCTAAATTAATAACTATGCATTCTTTAATATACTCTTATTATTGATTAAAGTTCATTAAAATTATAAGATAAATAGTGGAATTTGTTAAATAGAAAATGAGATAGACCAACAAATTTTTTGTAATCTATAATAATTTCAGTAAAAAAATCAGAGAGAATGTGTCATTTTAACATTTCTTATACACTTATATTCGTTTGAGTTTGACTGTGAAAGTGATCATTAAGGTAGGAAACAAATTGGTAAAACAAAAAAAAAAAGGAAAAGGTTAACTAATCAATTGCCTTGTCTTTCTTTATGATCCCTAGAGCCCACTTTCTCGTCTAGGTACAGGATTTACAATTGCACTAAAAAAATATCATCAAATCGGTGGAACTGATTGATGACAACATTAGTAACACTTGGTATATACAATAAAAACATGTGACGTGTGCTTCATAACAAGCAAAAGGGCCAAAATAAGTAACTGGTTTTCCCTAGAGTTCCTCTGAACACTTCAATATTATGGATTTCATCACTTTTGTCAGAATCTCCGTTCATCCCTATTGAAGTGTTTGGAGGAACTCCCGGAATCACTGGTGATTGCTGAAAAAACTATTAAGGTTATATTTTCATTGAATCCCATGTTAATTAATAGCTAATTAAGATAATTTTTCATCAATTCTTTTTATTCTTCCGATTATGTTGTGAAGTTCATATTAATTAATGTTAGTCGCAGATGGACTACTTCTTTTGCTTTAATATGGTTTTGGCAAATCAAGTCATAGGTTACTTTTCTTCCTCTTATCATACGGGTTTTAATTTGATCAAGAACTTTAGAGATGAAAAAATGAGTTTAGCTTAGGTTCTGCATGCAAGTGTTTAAAATAGCTGTTTTGTTGGCCTCGTCTTGATTTCCTAAATGGATTGATTTCTTTTTGATAAAGATGGGATGAATTTTGAGATGGTAGAAGAAAATATAGACTTCAATTTCCTGTAAGGCTTTAACCATTTTCACTACGGTATTGTGAGAAGGATAATTGTGAAACTTGGACGTGTTCATTTAACTTCCAAGTGGTTCTTCGTGGTTACTTTTTTTGTTTATGGAGTCATTTATTTTAGTGAGATAAACACCAAAAATATTCTTTTCAATTTCATTTCTCTCTCTTGTCAAGATCCCCAATGTATAAAGTAAAACTGAGTCAGATCCTAAACTTCAAAATATTTAATGATATCGTTGTTGGATTTATCTTGAGTCATTTACTATTTAGTCTTTATTGAATTAATGACAAAACAAAATTAGTATATATAAATGAAAGATATCCTTCCCTTACAAATAGATTTTATAAGTTAACTTTTATTTTAAATTCATATTTAAAACACTTTTTCGATCTTATAACATTACTAGAAAAGTGTTATTTTCTTACGAATTTTCTTGCAAAAAAATATTTACATAAATTTTTTTCGAATTTTCCTGCAAAAAAATATTTGTAGAAATTTTTTGCAAATTTATTTGCAAAAAATAATTTATTTTTTATAGATACTTTTTTACAAATTTTGCTATAATTTTTAATAATCATAGAAATTGTTTTCCATGGTAAAAATTTGCAGAAAATATTGTAAAAATTTTATTTTGTTTTTTGCAGATTTTCTTACAAAAATAAATTCGCAAGTAATATTTACTAAATGGTAAAAAAAATTTGCAGGTAACTTTTCCTGCAAATTTTAATCCGCAAAAAAAATAAAAATATATTTAAATTTATAAGTTTAATATTTTAAAAAAACTTCAAGTCTCACATCGATTGAAAATAAAGCAATTAAAGAGTATATTATAAGTTAGGGCAACATTTACCTTACAAGTTGATTTGTATGGTTGAGTGTTAGATTTAATATCTACAATCTTAAAATTTAAAAGATTATATATTACATGTTGGAGGCATGGAATCAAATGCTTCGGATGAATTCATTGTGAACATTCGAAAGTTGAAAAATTATAGATAGAATTTATAATAATTTCTTTAATTTTTTTCGTAAAAAATATTCCTGGAAAATTTCTTGAGAAAAAATTTGCAGGAAACTTTCCTGCGAATTTTCCTGTGAAAGTTTTTTTGCAGGAAACTTTCCTGCAAATTTTTTTCGCAAGAAATTTCATAGAAAAATTTCCTGCGAATTTTAAAATTTGCAAAAATATATTATCCACGAATGTATTACTTTTAGATAAAATTTTGTAGAACAATTTGCAGGAACAACATTTCCTACGAATTTTTATGAAAAATTTACAGAAAAAGTCGCATGTAATAAGAGAAATTCTAGTAGTGTAATAAGTGTTGTCTAAATTATTTTACAAATTAAAATAAATAAAAGATAATACTAATTTTATAGAATTAACTTAATAATTGATCATTTTTACTAAAAATATACAATACAATAACTATTTTTTAACTAATATTATTAAGGGGTGTAGATAAAAAAGGTGATTAATAGTACATTGAAAAATTAAAACCACACTTGTTTTGAAATTTATTTTTTCATCTAATATGATAATTTATTATAAGAAGGAAGTACTATTTCTGTTCTTTTATAACGGTTGTTTAAAGTTATTTTACACAAATCAAAAGACATGATAAACTTCTTTATCTTCTGTAGAATGATGTTAATGTTTCCATTATACTTTTTTTCATTTTTACTTCATAGTAAATGCATATTAGTTGTCACATGTGTAAATTAATTATTTTAAGTTAGGTGAAATATAAGGATACAATTGATAACATAACAATTAATGTTTTGAAATTTGAAAATGACAAGTAAATAGAAACAAAATCTTAACAAATATTCAACAAATAAAAAGAAATGAAGATAAAAAGGAATGAAGGGGGTAATATATGTATTTGTTTCAAGTACATGAGACTGATCTCTATTAGGATCATAATGATTGATTCCTATAATTTTTAATGAAAAAAAATGAATCAATAAAAACTATTGATTTACTATATGGATAAGAATAAGTTAAGACAAATAAGTTATAAAATTTATTCATTTAATAAAGGAACTTAGTTTAAACAGGATCATATATATACCCGATAAAAACTATTATTTTATTGAGTAGTCAGTTTTGACTATAACTTAGTGGCTCTAAAAGTTTGGGCATAAGTAGTGGCCTATTATGATCAGGGTGAGGATGAGCTTCTCAATGACCTAATATCTACCTTCAACTTCATAGAGGGTTCTATTAATGAAGTATATTGATCGGTGTTGGTTGTTGTCTTCTTTGATTAGGGTTGTCTCGATCGCTCTTTCTTTAGTGATGAGGTATAGGAGGAGGGGTGTTCTTGGCATTGGTTTGCATAGTATTGGTGGTGTGACTATGAAGGATTTGAAGTGTCCAAATGCTTCTTCACAATATCCGCTCCATCTGAATTTTGTTGGTTTTTTCAAAATGTGGAAAAAGTGCTTGGCTTTTTTTGGCCATATTAAGAAGGAAGCAGGCTAGTAACGCTAATCTTTTGGTTAATTTGTGTACTTTCGTGATTGTTTTTGGACTTTTCCTATTGATTAAAGTTTCATAATTGTTGAGGCCTCAATAACTCTATGGGTGAGCATAAAATTCAAGAATTTTTTATCGTGAACTCTAAAAGTTCATTTTTCTATCATCCACGTATACTTTCATATTGCGGCTAAGGATGTGAGAAGGTCAGGTCAAACTTTGAATATATAAGTTGAGCCTTTTCTAGAAAGTTAAAGCCTAAATCTGACCTATTATATAGCATAGACTTTTTTATATAAGTCTAGCCTAACCTTTTTAAAACCCAATCTAGCCTATTAGTATATTTGAAAGCTTATTTTATAATAATAATAATGTTAATTAGGTTAATAAACTTATTTTTTAAAAGCCCAACAAATTTAGTTTTAAACATGTCATTGTGAGTTATTTTTTTAATTTGCGTGATAAAATATAGTTTACTCAATATTATTAAAATCTAAGTTTTGAAATATATACAATGTCATATAGAGAAAAAAAAGTGAATTATTTTCTATTAGAAAGACAATTCATGCGTAGTATTGTATGTTGATTAACACTCATGCACAGGTCGTAATCGTAAACCTATAAATCTAAAATAAAAATGGATAATCGTATAAAAAAATATTTTAAATATTTCATATATCTTAATTTAGTATATTTTAAATAATCAACTCATATTTTAAAAAACTAAAAT